GCAGTAACAGAATTAGAAAATCTCATCTAAAATTTAAGGAGGAGAGTAATTAATGGTGACATTAGTTATTACTCTACACTCCTTAGAAATCTCAGGAAATATTTACATACTTTTTTTGCTTGCTTAAAATATTAAAATAAGAAAATCTCATGTGAAACCAGCATTAAGTGATTCTTATTCACAGAAATATAAATTCAGCTTTTCTTTCTTTTTTTAGAAATGTCATTTTCCTTTTACAATGTCATTTTTCTCTTCATTCACTTTTAAGACCATCTGGAATTTGTCTGTCTTCAGGTATTTAACAAGCTCTGAAGTAATCTCAAAGAAGCCATCATATATTTCAAAGTGGTTTAGATACGCTTTCAAAATTACAAATTAAGTGTATCACAGAAAGTCCATCTGCTATGATTAATCACATTAATCTCAGAGCAAGAAGCAGTTCATAGTTAAAAAAGAATTTAAGACCTAGAAAGAACCTTAGGAGTTATTCAGATTGATGAATTCTAGAGAAGTTAAGGAGTGACTTGTCTTTGGCCAGACACATGTTCTGGGTCTCATGCAGAAATTGTCATTCTCATTAATTTGTCCTTTTATTCATTCATTCATTCATTCATCTGCTTCTTTCGGTTCACTTATTGTTTTTTAAGTATACTCAGGAATTTTCTTAAAAAACAAAAATCCCATGGGGATCCTGACTACTACCAACTCCATCTTTCTGTCTATGACTTCTCAGTGAGTTGTGTGCACTTGGTAGATCTGCACCCCTTACCTCTCACCCCTCAGTCCCTTTGTTCTGGCTTCTTGCTACTACCAACTAAGGCCACCACACCACCTCTCAGAAGCACTCTGAACCAATAGCCACTTCTTCCTTTGGCTCCTGAGAGTTTCCTTCTCTCTGTCTGATGGCTCTTCCCTTTTCTTTTGCACGTTCATCCTTCTCTACTTGGCCATTAAATCCACATCCTTCAAGTGCTGATCTTAGGTCCTCTTTTCTTCTACCTCCCTCTTTTCTCCTTGAATAACATTCTCATATCTGTGACTTTGTTTCTTAGAAAGAATTCTCAAATACACACACACACACACACACACACACACACACACACTAGGCTTTTACACTAATATATCTAATATCTTTGTATATGTGTATATATGCTTATAAAAATGTGCACATACATACATGTACAGGTGTTCGGTAAATAATTAACAGGTGGGTAGGTAGGTAGATAGGATAGGCCTTTCTTTTAGGGCCTCAGATACATATTTTCATTTGCTAAAGGCAGCTCAAATTCATTATGTCTCAAGCCAAACTCATGACTCTTTTCCCAATCAAGTCTTGGTCCTTTTTCAGTATTCCTGGTCTCAGTAGATGGTGCCCCATCCAGCCAGCAATGTGGTCCAAAACCCAGGATCCGGCTTCCTCACCTCCCTTCTCCTCTCTGTATCTAACCCATCATTGAATCATGTTGATTTTGTCTCCTAAATAACTTTCAGATTTGTTTACTTGTCTTCTTTGCTGTCACCCAGTCCTGAGGTACCATCCACTTTAACCTGAGAGTCACCTAGCTTTTCAGTTCACATTACTCTCATGCACTTTGGTCATTCTTCAGTCAATTGCAAGAACGATCTTTCCAAAACTCGAACATAATCATGTGCCATTACAGTGTCTTTCTATTGCAACTACATAGAGCAAAAGAGACTTTATATATCCTGAAAGGTTTGAGGTGCTCCACTGTCTCCATTTTTCTCTCTCAAGCCTTATCTTACACAATGATGTCCCTTATTCCCTCTGCCACAGCCATCTGACTATCTTCTAATCACTCATCATTATCATTGCTTTTTACTGTCATAGGACCTTTGCACATGCCCCTCTCCCCAACTCATCCTCAGAGCACTGCTTCCTTCAGGGAATCCTTCCCCAGCCTCCCTTAAAGTAAATCCCCTCCTCTTTTGCTGCTGGTTCCCTGAGCATATTTTCTTTTCTTCAGCTGCTGTTTTGCATTCATTTATGCAATTATCTGATTATTTATCCCTCTCTCCTATTTTCTACTTAAGCTCCACAAGGGCAAGGCATTTTCTGATTTGTTTACCTCTGTATCTGTAATATTTAGCACCATGACTAGCATACAATAAGCATTCATCAGGTATTTACTGATTAAATGAACCAGCATCATGTAAAAATGAAGCACATTTTAAAATTCAGTGTTTGTTGAGTAAAAATGTACAGTGGAGGAAAGAGAAGGAAGCCATTCATAATGGAGCCCCTTTTAACATGCCATACAATTGACACACATTATTTTGATGGAAATAATGAATTGTCATGGATAGTTTTGCTTTCTTTTATAACTCCTTAAAGGGTTTTTTATGTGTATTTCATGCAAATAACATGGGTGGCAAGGTTATTTTCAATGATTTAAAGCGATTTGAAATATGCCTCTGAAATGCTATTTTATTTTTCCATTAACATATTTTAGCAATTTTCAACTTGCATGGCTGGGCATTTGATTAACAGGGAAAAAAAAGGAATTGGATTAGATGTAATTAACACCTGGAATATGATTGCATTATTAATCTTTAATGTATCTGAAGAACATTAAAGATACATATACCTAAGACATCATTGCTTCACTTTTGACTTATTTGCCGCCCATAGCACCTAGTCTTAGTTGTGAAAGGCATGGGAAACACCTTTCTTAATAATATTAATGATCCCTTTCCATTATTAGAAAACATACAAATGTGATTTTACATGAGGAGGTAAATATATTGTAGAACGGATGCTACCCACTGCTGCCCTTCTGGATCTCCTAAAACTACCTTCTCCTTTTCATACTGACTCCATTTCTGTTAAATAATGACCACAACTACAACCAGTCTTTCAGTTAGTTTAGGTGATTATGGTCTGAACCAGTTGGGTTTTAACTATACTGGTTTGAAACTTCTTTGAGACATACAGAGTATGACAGTACATTAAATAGGTAGAGAGACAACACTGGCTGAAGCTCCAGAATATATATCTGGGGGTATGATATCACCTGCAGGGTCCCGATAAAGACACGACCCAAGCAAGAGTCTGGTTATGTGTTTTGTCCAAAGGAGACAGCCACCAGCAGCCCACAGAGTTTTCTGTGCAGTGACAGCCAAGATCCACTGTGTCTTCTAATTTGCCTAGGAGTGCTAAAAGAAACACATAGTTTTATGTGAAATCCCAAGTTTTTAACTTGGACAATTAATAGTTTGACTTTGAAATCTTATAGAGGATACACAAAGCTTATCTATAGACTGAGTTTTATTGCTGTCAACCAGTTCTTGACTTCTGGTGAAAACTCTTGTCTTGGCACCTGTGGTGTACATAGTCTGTTCTGCTTCTTCTATCCAATGTCGATTCTTGCTGTCATTTTAAACAACCTGTGCTTTGGGTGGACTTGGCTTTCTCTGCTGTCCCCAGCATAGCAGGCCATCTTCCAGTCTAAGGCTCAGCCTGTCTCTGCTATTACCTCACAGGGAACACCTCCTCTTGGCCTCTGGTTATCTAGTGAGATTCAGCTTAGGTTCTTGGTACAGAGGTCTGTTACCAGCTACTCTAGTCTGCACATGTCACTCTGATGTTACACACATAACCACACACTCATACTCATCATCCTTCATGGTTGACTTTCTTCATTATGTGTATCTGGTCTTCACAAATAAGTCCCCCCCGCAAGACTAGTTTGAACATGGGGTATGTTCTGAGGTGTTATGGACATGCAGGCATGGATGGGACCAAATAGGATTGTAAATGTCTTCTGCAGGATCACTTCTCTTAAACACCTCCAGTGACATGGAGCTCACTACCCTGCATGACTCCTTTGCTACATTGAACAGTCCTGACTTTAGAAAGGGTTTTTGCTTGTCTCTCACGCAGTGACACATACCTGTAATCCCAGCAGCTTGGGAGGCTGAGGCAATAGGATCAAAAGTTCAAAGCCAGCCTCAGCAACAGTGAGGCACTACGCAACTCAGTGATACCCTGTCTATAAATAAAATACAAAAATAGGGCTGGGGATGTGGCTCAGTGGTTGAGTGCCCTTGATATTAATCCCTAGTACTCCCCTCCTCCCCACAAAGAAGAAAAGAAAGGGTTTTTGCTTAATCAAGTTGAAATCCACCTGCATGCTCACCTATAACTTTTTATCCTTGTGCATTTTCCTTAAATTTTTTTGCTTGCTGAGCAGTCGTTTTCTAAATAAGGAGGACTCTAGTTGTCAAAAGGAATTTTTCTTGAGTGTCTAATGTGGCCACCTAAATTTTAATGGGGTTTTGATGGAAAATAGTGTATTCCTTGAAAATAGACCATACAAACCAAATTCTGAGGGAGATGTTAGTAATAGTTACCTGTACTCTGCCTATGATTTCTTTTGAAAGCACTTTTCTTTGAGATTTCTGCTCATATCATGAGTAAACATTTTTTTTTAAATTTGTGACCATATGTTTGCTTGATGTTAAACCTCTTTTAAGAACTGTTTTTTGTTCTGCTTTCAAACTATCAAAAGTGGAATTGTCTATATATTAAATTTAAAATCTTATCATAGTTGTAATGCTTACATTTGTCACTTTTCCTTGGTTATTATAAGTATTTAGATATCCACCTGTAAAAATAAAGTTTTTCCTGGTTTAAAATTAACATGTGCGCCTGGCAAGGTGGCACACACCTATAATCTCAGAGACTTGGGAAGTTGAGGTGGAAGGATCCAAATTGGAGGTCAGCCTCAATAATTTAGCAACACATTGTCTTAAAAATAAAGAAGGGTTAGGGGTATATATAGCTCAGTGGTGGAGTGCCCCTGGGTTAAATCTCCAATAACACACACACACACACACACACATAAATAAACTTACTTGTGTCAGTGGACTTTGGTGACTAATACTTTCCCTGATTATTTTATAGTACACTGAAAATTACATTTCTTACAGCTGACCACATTGCTTATTATAAATGCATCAGTGTTTTTGTGTGTTTTCAGGTGCTGTGATACTCTTGGGAAGGACCAATATGTTTCGCTTTAACCATCCGAAGGAAGCTGCCAAGCTCCGGGAGAAGAGAAAGGTGAGGGTATAAAGTCTCTAGGAGGGAGCCTCTGACCTGGCATGGGAGTGTAGGTGTTCACTGTAGTTCCAACAGTTTAATTTTCTGAAATACAGAACCTCTTGAGAGGAAGTTCTATACCCTGGATAGACTCTAGACTGTTGGCTTCCAGGCAGATAATGGGGTGTTGGAGCAAGAGACCAAGCAAGTGGAATCCAGGCTGACAAAGAGAACCTGCTCTTTACAGCTCTTTCTCTTCAGCCTCCCCCCCATCCCCCGAAGGAACTGGGTATCATTTTGTATTAATGAAGAATGACTTCCACTTATCACATCTGTCTTAGAAATTAACCCAATATTGGAATCCCTTTCATCAAATCCCAAATCAGCCACAGTAAATTAGGTTTTTAACTGAGGTGTGAAGTAGAGCAGGAAGGAGTTTAGGACAATGGGGAGGGACTTTGACTTGCTTAGATAGGGCCATCCAGAGGGTGCTTTAATTGCTGAATGGGGTTGGGGGGTGTGAGCTGAGGACCTAAGAAAGAAGAGAAGAGATGGGAGGGAAGGAAATCTGCTAGGGATGTCATGGCTGGTCCTTAGACTGATGAAGACAGTAAAGACCCCAGCCAACATTTCTAAGCCAGGAACTATGCTTACATCCTGGGTATATTCTATTACTTTATCTGCACAGCAGATGTTATTGTGCCCATGTTCCAGAGAACTGAGCGGAAAAACTGGACTGAGATTTACTTTCTCTAACTTGCTCTGAGACCACCACATGAGGAAACTAGTCTGAGGCCTTTGCCTCAACCATCAAGTTACATAGCCTCTCATCTCAGCCTTCTTCTAGAAGGACTGCCTGGGGTTGCACTCACCAAAGATGGGAATGGAGGACAGAGCTATAGACCCTAGCCTTCCCCAGGCTGCTGGTCTGGCCACTGAAACCTCTTTTCTTTCTTTCTTTTTTTTTTTCAATTTCTTTTTAGTTATTGATGGATCTTTATTTATTTACTTATTTTATTTATATGCGGTGCTGAGAATCAAACCCAGTGCCTCATACATGCTAGGGAAGTGCTGTACCACTAAGCCATAGCCCCACTCCTGAATCCTCTTTTCTGTTCCAGTCTAGAGTCACTCTTGAGGGTTCTTTTGGTATAAACTTAGAGAAACAGAGGAAAGAAAGCCTGTTTGCCAGTGGCTTTCCATGGAAGCAAAATAGGTCTAACTCTCACCTTTTTGGTTTTTCCTTACCTCTGCCTCCCTGGTCTTTATCATTCTGTAATTGTGAGTGCCACTAATAATGGGTGATGCTGCCTGCCTGGGAGAAGGATGGCAAAGAGGTTGTGACCTCTTTCCTCCACTTTAACTTTAAAAATCTTCAAAGGAGACCATCTGGGTTGTGCAATTCCTGGTGAATGTCCCCTATACTGGAATGTCAGGCTCCTGTGTACTTCTCACTCAGGATTTGGTTTGAGGTTAAACTAGGGCCTGAAGGTTCCAGATCTGCTGTCCTCAGATAGACCAGTTGTTGTGCATGCTAACAGGAGCATGTGCATCTCATTATCTCTTACAAGTTGGAAGCAGTGAGTCCGCAGCACTGGCCTTCTCTTCCTTGCTAAGTTAACCACTCTGCCCTGTGTCTGCTCTTAGAGTGGCCTTCTGTCCTCCTTCAGCTTGTCCATGACCGACCTCTCAAAGTCCTGTGAGAACCTGTCCGCAGTCATGCTGTATAACCCTGGGTAAGTGGACAGCCTCCTTCCCTGTGATTGTCTCTGCTGTGGTATTCACCTTGCCAGCTCCATTATAGTCACGAGTTGGAACTTAAAACTTCTGCAACAGCACCTCCTTAGTACATTAGCTGTAGTCATTTTTCAAGTTGCTTCCTAGCCTATACACACACACACACACACACACACATACATATACACACATACTTTTACTTAGCTATAATTACAACATAAATAGAATTGTGTTTTCTGATTTTTTGCTTAACAACACAATATGCATTAGCAAGGGTTGTTATGAGCTTTATTATCATTTTCATAACTGTCTAATATTTTAGAGTTGGCACTTTGATTACTCAGCACATGATCCCTTTGGCTTATACACTTTCATCTTGTTTTGTAAGTTATTTGTAATAACAGAGGCAGCCTTAACTCTTAGGGCATCTAATATAGCGCCCAGGAAATACTTTCAAACACTAGGGGATCATGGAGAACACAAACAAGACTATTTTAAAGGGGGTTAATGGTGAATTGAGTGGTCAGCCTATTTGCCCAAGTTCCTGGTGACTTTATCAGGAAAGTGACAGTCAGTGATGACAAAAATATCTGAAAACAGGAAACTGGATGAAGGGATTTTTAGGGTCCTTCCAGTTTTGTGAGGCTGCATGATTTTATCTTTCTTCCCCAGAGAACTTCACATAAAATAATAGAATTAATAAGTATATACAACTGACAAGAACAACATCTTTTAGAACTGTTGATTGTTTAGTGTTTACTACATCCAGCCACTGTATTAAGCACCTTGTATCCATTCTCTTTTGCCAGCTATTTTCCTGTGACATTTGGGGAAATTTGCATACATTTGTTCACTCATACTTTCATTTAGAGCTATAGTGTATGCATCCAGGTGTCTCTAACTCCAGCAACACATTACCCCTTACTGTGGTTGGGGCCCAATTCCATGGCCTCTTACCCTCTGACTCAGCATTTCTCACAGAGCTAAGCCATATGCTCAAAGGTCCTCATTCCTTCAGATTGGGTCAGCACGCTGGTTTGTGGAAAGCAGATACCTACAAGGAATTTTGTCAGCATCACAGGAGAGACCTTTGATCATAGTTCTGGGTTTCTCCTTTTATAGGCTAGTGGGCTGATGCCCAGATCCTAAGCCTTGCTAAAGGAGAAATAAAGAAAAAAGCCAACTGGTCCAACAGTGTGTCTGTAGACTTGTAGAAGCACAAGCAGTTCACTCCCTTGTATCTGCCTTTGTCTTTATCATTCATCCTCTCTATCTTGTGCCGTGTTTTATGAGGAAAGTTGGGCTCATTAAACAATTCTTTTCTGAGATAAATCCTATTAATGAGACCCCTGAGATGTGAGAACTCTCAGCCCAACTGAATAGTCAATACTTCACAAAGTATATTTTATGAACTGGGGATGGAGTTCAGTGGTAGAGATCTTGCCAAGCATGCACAAGGTCTTGGGTTCGAGACCTAGCATCACCAAAATAAAGGGGGTAGGGCACAGAAATCATATTTTGTCATAGGTTCTTAATTCCCTTACAATGGTTTTAGCAACTTCCTGTTGATAAAACAGTGACTAGGATTGAATCATTCATTTGTGTATGTTATGTAATAAAGTATGCAGGTCTTTAGGTTATTTTCAGTTTAAATAGTATGCTTCCCTTCTCTTAAATACTGTTTTTCTAATCAGATTGTTCTGTGATATGAAGTGTGATTGCTGAGCCCAAGATCCAGTTAATCCTGAAGTCCACATCCCACCTTTCTTATCCTAAGCAGCAGTGACACCTTTTAACTTGAAACCATCTGGAAATGTAATGTGGCTATTTATGCCTTGAAAACCAAAAAGTATTCTGTACTCAGCCTTTCATCTGAGACACAGGCTCACTGTGTCTTGAGCTCCTCCTTCTTTTTCATTTACACATGGGATTGAAGTCCTTTTCCCTCCCCATAATGCAGGAGAATATATAGTCTTCTTAAAAGTAATGCCATTTTTTGTTATTTGTTTTTAAATTCAAGCAGTTTTTCTTAGTATTTATAAAAGGCATTTTGGAGTATACCAGTTTCATCCTCAGGTCTTTTCATTGTCTGAATAATAAAGTTTTGACACCTTGCCATTGAGTGGTTCATCATCTGTGTAACTCTCTCAGTACCTCCCTCCATATGTTCTGGGCCACGTTAGAATTGGTTTTTATTGCTCAGACATGCCCTCAAATCCTTTGGAGCTTTTCCTTTGTAAGTTTCAGAGCCTGAGATGCTTTTTTTTTTTTTTTTTTTTGGCTACCTACTCATCCTCCAAGGCACCATACAAATGATTTCTCCTCTGGAAGTTTTTCCCAACTTTTCTCCTCCCAGCCAAAATAAATGCCCCTTATTATGCTACCTTGCTGTGTTTCTGTTGTCCTCATTTCATTCTTCTTTGTAATGTCCATTCATATGTCAGCAAACCCTTTTCAGAGTGCCTCCTGGGAACCAAGTGTGATTCTAAGACAGTGGTACTGGCAAGACCAGTTTCCATGCTAGTCAGAGAACAGAAACAATTAACAGGTAATTGAAAAAAAAATACTGAAAGTAAAATGAAATGAAATGTCCTGGGGCAGTGTTTGTGGAGTGGTCAGGGAAGGCTTCCTGAGGAATGGACATTTCTCACAGAGCTAAGCCATGTGCTCAAAGGTTCTCACTCCTTCCAGGACATTTGATCTAAGACCTGAGTAAAGTGAGATGATAATTATGAAAGAAAGAAGGAAATGGAGAATGTTCCAGGCAGAGAAGAAGGCAAGTACAGTGACTTTGAAGTAAGAAGGGGAAAGAGGGTCTGAGTAAGTGGGATTTAGTAAGCAAGAAGAGAGGTACAAGGTGAGGTTGGGGGTAGTCAAGTGCCAGCTAATGAAGGGCCATTAGGCTATTGGAAGGAGTCAGTTTTCTAAGGGCACTGGCACTGGAGAGATTTAATCAAGGGAGTAGCCTAAAGGTGTATTTACTATAAAAATTAGAGTGTATATCTCTTAGAGAATGTAGTATACAAGTGGGAGATCATTTGGAAAGCTGTTTCCTTAAGCCAAATGAAAGATAATGGTGGCTTGGATCAGAGTTTAGCCATCAGGATGGAGCAACATGAGATCATAGAATCAAAGGTGATATCCAGGTATAGGTATAAACCACCAGGGCAGGTGGTACATGCTGTCCTGAGATGGAGCAGGCAGGGAGGATGGGCTGGAGCTGGCAATTGGATAAGAATTCTGCTTGTGTAAGTGATTTTCCTATTAGTAGGAAGCTTTTAGAGTGCGAGATCTTGTGTCTTACTCATTTCTGTACTTTAAAGTGTCTGTCACATAATGTGGTTAATAAAAATTTGGCAAACAGATTAGGAGTACAATTTTAGTAAGACATATGGGTCCTTTTAAGGTTTGTTTAATTAATTTCTCTGTACATGGGTGTTCCAAATACTGGAACAAGACACATTAGATAAAGGAAAGCATTTTTTTTTTTTTTTTTTTTTTGTGGTGTAGATCAAGTCCTAGATGACAGTGCAGTTCTTAGAACAATCTTAAGTTCATGTTCAGAATCCCCAAGCAAAAGGTGGAAGGAGGGCTTTATGACGAAATGAAGAATTAGGCAATCAGAGAATCTAAGTGAGAAACGATCTGTTTTAGACTGAACTACATTTGGCTGAGGAGATGATTCTGGATGCATCCAATATTCACTTAATGCATTCTGTTCACCTGGGTTCTGTTACCAGATGCATTTTGTCTCTGCTATTCCTACAATACTTGCTGGTACAAATTCAAATAAAAATTATTTAATACTTTATCATACCTTCTTTCTCCCTGGCTTCCAGCCCCCTTCTACTTGCCACCTGCTATGGAGAATGATTATCCATGAATTAAAATATAATTGGAGAAAAATTGCCTACTCTGATTTATGGGAAGCAGACACCTTGTTGTGAAGTTGTCAGCTCCAGCAACTCTGCAAAACAAAGCAGAATTAAAGTGATAGTCATGCTGTTTATGCCTTTTTCTGATGTTACTGGCGTAAATATCCTCAGCCTAAACTTAAGCACCATGCAATAAACTAGAAGAACATTGAAAGAAATATGGATAGCATTTGGGTCCTAGCTAAATAGTTGTTTAAATTCAGCTAATAAGCTGCTTGGAAACAAGAGTGGGCTCCTTTCTCAAGATGGGAATGTAGAACTTAGATGCTTCAAGAAATCAGCATGTGTTTATTGAGGGTCTATTGTATGCTGACAGTTTAAAGTATTCCCTGTGCCTGGGAAGATGGACATATGCATGTGAAGCCATTCAAAATAAAAGCAAGATAGCATGTGATTCAAGGCCAAACAGTGGAGTTAGAGGCCTGTTCTCTTGGAAGTCTGGTGGGAAGGGAATGATCCAAGTGGAAGTGCCTAGGAAAGGGTTCTCCTCCCAGTTCCATGTTCACTTTGGGTAGCCATGCCACGATGAAGTGGGTTTCGTAGAAAGCCAGAGGCTATCTTGCTGCAGTCTGGCTGGGCACAATCAGGAGCCACTTGTCAAAAGAAACTAACTTTATTGTTAGAACCACACACGCCAAACAAAACAGCCTCTCAGGAAAAACCCTCAGAGCCTCAACTGCCACCACCGGCTTTCCACAAGCCTCTCTCTCCCACACAAGCTTCTCTCCACCTCCCACAATCCTCCTGCTCTTGAGGCCGATTGGCTGGGTCATGTGGGCGGAGCCAAAAAAGTCCCCCAATGAGCAGCTCCGTGGTCTGAAAGGGCAGGGAAACAGCCCAATGAGCATCACCGCAGAGGAGCCAATCAGCTAGATGTTGCTGGGGCCGCTGTGAGCCAATCATCAGCCGGCAGCTGGAAGTTTGCTCGCAGCTGGAAGTTTGCTGGGGCCCCTTCGGCTGTGGCTCTCAACATCTCCCCCTCTCTGTTTAAACAACAAGCATGTGGCTTAGGGACCGTGCCTGCCTTAGGTTGTCCAATAGTACATATGGTCCTTTGGTACCAT